CGCTGGTGTCACTTCAACTATGCTCCTATTCGCCGTCATTGGCGCTTTCGGTCCGACATTGTTCTACCAGATCTATGGAAGCGTAAGTATCGTCCAATTGCACGTTGATCTTGTGCTAACCTAATCTAGCATGAACTCAACTGCCACTCATGCGTGCACTCCAATCACCACGTTCCCCTTGAGCGAGACTGCCGTAGATGTTACTACTCACAAACACCAGCACTCAATGATCGCTTCTACAACGAAGCTGTGAAGCCTTACACCTGGTTCGCGGCTGCTCTCCTGTTCTTCTCCTACATCATTGGTCTTCTATTCACCCTTCGTACCCATGCCGCGACAATTTGGACGGAGCCAGATGCTCAAGAGAAGAAGTTACTCGAGATGAGCGCCAGTAGTCTCAGTCAAAGCGGGCATATGGACTTCCCACATGCTTCTTTCGTCAGGCAAGCGACAGGAAACTCCATATCTCGTGCGCACATACGCGACAGCCAGCTGTATAAGCGCATGGTTAGCCAGACCTTGCAAGAAGTTGGTCTTGGACCTGAACACACTGCATCAGACACCGGTCGGCCTGGATCCAAATCGGATAGCAACACACCGCACATGGTACCGCCAAAAGAGAGTGACGCTGTCTCGCACCACTCTTTCCACGTTGAGGGACTCACAGACGATGCTGCAGAGTCGCTTGCGCGACAAATCACAGAGATCGCGGCAACAACGACTGCTCTGGCGACGCGTGACGTTACCAGGGCTCCACGCAAGGCAGCGCAACTTGCCCATACATCAACCAAAGCGCATGCGGAACGTCCCGCTCACACGCGAACAAACACAGAAGCTGCACCCGAGGAGCTTGATGCTGCGACTGGACACGCCTCGGGTGGACACGATGCACCGAACTGGAGCCGTCAAAAGAGTGCTGCTATCCTGCTGACTGCGACTGTCGCATATGCCATCATCGCAGAGATTCTCGTCAATACCGTTGATGGTGTTCTCGAGGGCTCTGACATTGATGAGAAGTTCCTGGGTATCACTCTCTTCGCATTGGTACCGAACACGACTGAGTTCCTCAATGCCATCTCGTTTGCCATGAACGGCAACATTGCACTTTCCATGGAGATTGGTTCCGCATACGCTCTCCAAGTGTGTCTCCTCCAGATCCCGGCTTTGGTGTTTTACAGCGCGATCCACACAGGCTACATTCCCGCTCAGGACGTTGCCAGCCAGACATTCACTCTCATCTTCCCACAGTGGGACATGGTCACCGTCATCCTCTGCGTCTTTCTCTTGTCGTACATGTACGGCGAGGGTAAGAGCAACTACTTCAAGGGCTCTATTCTTATCTTGTCGTATCTTGTCGTCATTGCCGGCTTCTACCTCTCCGGGTTCAACGACTTCCAGAAGATGGGTGTCGATCCGATGGACACGTTGGCGCTTGGGGGTTTGGTCGAGCAGCAGGTGCAGTCTATGACATTCAAGACACCTGGAAGAGGTCGCAGTGGCGTGGCGTACTGAAAAGCTTTATTGTGATATTGAGATATGGAGGGGGATGTTAGAAGAATGTTAATGAGTGTTTGCAATGGGCAGGTTTCTGCACAAAAGGTACATAGCGCAGGCGTTTGAGGAAAACTTTATATTGGGAATAATTAGTTATGAAACGCACAAATAGTGGCACGACTGCCACGTAATCTGACATGAAGATGCTCTGTTGATCTGTGAAGTATGAATCATATTGGGCGGCACGCAAGTCGAGCGATGATCGATGATCAGCCCATGCAGCGTGCAATATTTTTCTGGTGCGGCGCCAGAGAAAGTATATGCATGAGGTCTTACCTCTGACTACAAGAAAGTTGATTAGGATGAGCTCGAACATCGTGTTTCGCATAGTCGTCTACGTGAAGGCTATAGATTCAGAGAAACGTGAAGTCGGTCCGTGAAGGCTGCTCAGCCATGCAGATGACGACGGCTTCACAGCATCCTGCGATGGGCGTGCGAAGTCGAGATGGGTGGAGTGAGGCGGGTATATCTTACAGGTCACGATGCGACGAAGTCCGCAAGTCGCAGCGCATGGAGTGGGGCGGCCGGGCGATCCAACGTGGGAGGATTGGAGAGGAGGGTGCGCGCACATGGTGCGGCAGTCTCGGAGTGGCAGATTACAGTGGGTCGCCGGCGTCAGCGGGCGTGTGAAGATCAATCGATACGCCATGGCAGTCCGCGCCTCTCCGTCGAGGCTTCAATCGACCCTCTCTGCCCCGTCTATTTCTATGTCGCGGTTTGGTGTTCGCGCGCGATATGGTAGTGCGCAGTCGCGGGATTTGCTTTGTCGTATACTCGCTTTGAACCGCCTGGGCTTTGCCAAAGACGCGCGACAGCGGAAGCCACACCCCGCGCTCGAGATCTTCTCTCCATGAGGCGTCGGGCCTGGTGTGCTGGTCATCGATAAGGCCGACGGTCAGCCGTTCGCTGCTGAGCGAGCATTATTGCTACCCAGTGTTGCATCATACACAGCATAGACCCTGAGATGCTGCTCGTGCGACCGCACCGCCTGCCGTCGCGATTGGCGTGGCTCTTGTTCGCGACCGTCGCCTCGGCCACGATATCCTCGTCTAACACGTCTACCGCGCGTACAAATCTTTACGACGGCACTCTGCCGCTCACTAACGCTCAGGGCGACGACGGGACCAGGATAGCCGACCTGATCCCATTGACTAAGGATGCCGCCAACTCAGTTCGTCAAACACTATTCGTCGCATCGCCTTCATGCACTGACAAAGCACTAGGTCCAGGGCAATCTGTACAATACCAACTACACCAGCGTCGTCGGCATATCCAATGACGAAATCGCATACATCAGCTGCGACACCACCGACTACAACGGCTACGACACTGCGCAGGGCGTCTTCGAACAGACCTACTTGCAAGGCAATATCTCGGCAGTTATACTATACAGCAGGACGTCAGACTACTGCAACTACACCCAGGACAAGATACAGGTCATGATGGACGAGTTCGCCATATACTCGATGACCAACAGAGCGGACTCGGCAAAGGTGCGCAACGACATCATCGACATGCCGGCAGCCATGAAATACTTCGTTCAAGTCAAGGCGCGAGATGAGGGGAACAACGACTCTGGCAACGGCCAATACCAGCAGAACCCCTTGGGGCCATCGCCTTCGACCGCCGTCGCCATGATCATTCTATACAGTATCACCGGCATCATCACAGCCTTGTTCCTCGTCATCATCATCACCGGCGCCGTTCGCGCGCATCGCCACCCCGAGCGATACGGCCCTCGAAACGTGCTCGGACGACCAAGGCAAAGTAGGGCAAGGGGATTGGGACGAGCTATCCTGGATACCATACCCATCGTCAAGTTTGGCGAGAAGGAGCCGGCGAAACCCGCTGATGTCGAACTGGGCTCGACGGCAGAAACGCGGGATGTGAATGGCGTAAACACGGACACGGAAGCGCAAGCGAGCGGAGGAACAGCTGCGACACAGCACGATACGGCTCCAGCGCCGGTGTCTGGTGCGAATGAGACAGCACAGGTCGTAACATCGGACCGCGCGGAAGAGCAGCAATCCGGCATCGCGCCGGCACAGCCTGTTGCCGCTGGTGCGACAACGGGTACCGACAATGCTTCACCGGACGAAGGCCTGGGATGCTCGATCTGTACCGAAGACTTTGAAAAGGGCCAAGATCTCCGTGTTCTTCCATGCGACCATAAGTTCCATCCAGAATGCGTGGACCCGTGGTTACTGAATGTATCCGGCACATGTCCGTTATGGTAAGTTACTCCTCGATCCCACACGCAAACATTGTCCTAACCTTTACTAGCCGGGTCGACCTCCGTCCTGTGAACTCACGCGATTCCACGGCATCGCAAGAAGACGAGCTCGCTCCCCCTCTCAACCCCGAAGGCGACACATCCCATCGTCGCCGCACCGCGCTATTCGATATCCTTTCCCTCCGCCAACGCCCGAACGCGTCACCCGAAGAGCGTATATCCGCTCTACGACGACTGAGAGAACAACGGAGGAACCAAAGTGGTGATGTAGCGAGTGGCAGCGCAAATGCGAGTACCGAGGAAGTCGATGGCGCGCGCGACAGGAGGAATAGGCGCATCAGTGCCAGACTAAGCGATGTCTTCAGTGGTCGCTCGAGAAGGGAAAGAGCTGATGAAAGTTCAGCGCAGCAAGGAGGATCGAATAGGAATGAAGCGGATGTTGCTCCTGGCGCGAGTGGACCCAGCGCATGAACGGGGGTTCTGGATTGTATACGAACGTGATGATATATGTACAGTGTATCTGTATTGGCGTTTGGGCTCTCGCTTTCCCCGGTCATGGGTTCATAAGTTGGCTGCGCATCGTACGGCGTTGCGGGATACCAGGATGTCTTGGGTAGCATGCATTCACTATGCTCCAGAATGCAAAATACGATTTGTACCACCCGTCCCACTTTCTATTGGTGTCGTGGTTCTGTGGTTATGATGCAGCTTCTCAGTCGCTTTGATCTGATCGTGTCTCAGGCAATACTCTTTGAAAGCTGAACTCATATCAGGGGGTGGTGCGTTAGAATAAAGGGCGCAACCCTCTTAGCAACACTGCCGTCTCTTGAGTCTTGCTGCCAGGCTTTAGTGATGATCAAAAAGCAAATCAGACAGTAATGTGACCCATCCCAAGACTTGTACATCCACAGTCACTCCAGTTTTTCGCAACCAGGTTGTTCACAATCTCCTCCTGAGTACATATACAATTAGCCTACAGAGAATTGTCCAATGACATCGAAACATGCAAGCCAATGCATGACATGCCGGGAAGGTAATCCTTCTTGGTTTGCCAAGTGCCAACATGATCGCGATCAGCACACATGATGCGGTTCGTCAGTGTGGCTGTTCACCGGTTTTGGCATGCTTATCTGCAGGACACCTGCAAAATTGAGCGACGACACTTCACCCGCAAACCTCAGACATAACCACATCGACTCTGATCTATCAAACGATGACCACAAATACTCCATCAGAGCCAGCTCCATCAGAAGCACCACCAAACCCATCCCACACATACGATCGCAACACACCCGATCAGCAAGAAATCACCGCAATCCTCGCCAAATTCAACAAAGATCCCCTCGCTCTAAGCGTCATCTCCCTGGGCAAAGATGGCGTTTTACGGAATCTATCGGCGGATCGCGCCGTTCTCGATGCTGTTGGACTGGGCCCGCGGCTGGTGAAAGCGTTCTTGGACCACGTCCCTCCGGACTACCGCGCGCTCACGCCAGAACTTGAGGATGCTGATGGGTCGAAAGCGACTTATGAGGAAATGTGGCACCCGGATCCAGGGCTACTGCCGCGACCTATGGGTGAGGAGCAGAAGAAGAGGGCGTTGGCGAGTTTAGAGAAGAATTAGCTCTAGCAATTTTTTTTTAGACAATTAAATTATAGAATTAAGAGTCTTTAATTTTAATAAAGTAGCTTACTAAAAGTTTAATATATTATATAGTAACTATATATAACTTTTCTCTATTTAGATAGCTTTCTTATTACTCTACTTATAGAGCTATATATAATTAATAAATACTAGATAAAAGTAAATGTACTAATTAGTAATTAAAAGTAGCTATTTAATTAGCTATAAAATAGAATTATAGTAAGTATTACTATAATTATAAAGATTAGTATTTTAGTATAGTACTAGCTATAACTCTAAGCCTTAGTAAGAAATATTAAACTTTAGAAAATTACGCGTACTATAAAGTATAATATTATAATATATTATAATATATATAAATAATACTTTAAATAGAAGTAAAATAATATATATATAGTATTTATTAGTAAACTAATAATTTTATAGTTTATAAGCTAGCTCTAAAAATATAAGATTTATTACTAGTATACTAAAGAATATATAACTAAAGGTTTAAGTACTTTAGAAGTAGATAAACTAAAGCTTAGAGTCTTAGTACTACTACTTTTAATATAAGTAAAGCTTCTAGATCTTAACTAGCTATAAAGCTAACTTAATACTAAAGTACTTTAGAAAAGAATCTTAACTTAAAATACTATATAAGAATTATAATATTATTATATATACTTATTAGCTTATAACTAATAAAATAATATATTATAGAGCTTTATAGTTAGAATATATATACTAAACTTCTTTTTAGTAAAGATATACTTTTTCTATTTTATAAGTTACTATACTTAGAAATTTTAAGATATATTACTATACTAATATATATATTAAATAATTTATTAGTTCTTTTAGTAATTATAAGAATAAAACTTATCTCTTACTAGTTTAATTACTTTACTTACTAGAGCTTTACTAAGTTACTTTATTATTATTTAATTATCTTTTTTTAAATTATATTACTATTACTATCTATCTTTATAAGTTCTTTAAAGATTTTAATAAGAGATAGTATTATAGTAAATTTTATAACTTTTATTATTATTTTTATAACTACTACTATTATATATACTATTACAATCTACTTTACTAATAATATAGTATCTACTAGAACTATAAATAGTTATTATTTTAAAAGTATTTTATAAAAGTATATAAAATAGATAAGTCTTACTATTATTTTTTAATAGAACTTTTCTTTTAATAATTTTATTAAGAAGATAAAGCACTTTTTTCTATAATCTAGATCTAGATATTATAAATTACTTAGTAGCTAAAGCTTTATATATTACTAAAATTCTAGAGAATTTTATTAATATACTAATAATTAAGTACTTTTTACTAAATATAGATACTATTTATATATACTTTACTATATATATAATTAGAGTAAAGTTAAATCTATTCTTTAAGTATAAAATATAAAGTTATATTTACTTATAATAGTATACTTTAGAAAAGACTTTTAAGAAAAGTAATAAGAGATAGAAAAATAAAAATAAAGCTTTTATAAATTATTTCTAGTAGATAGATAGTATTATATAAATAGTAGTAGTATTAAAGTTTTACTAAAGCTATTAAGAGTATAAGAGATTATTATTATATTATAGTTACTAGAAAATAAAGATAATATTATAGTTATAGTTAATAGCTATAGAATAAATATAGTAAGTTCTATTAGTAGTATATCTATTACTATATATTATCTTAAGTATTTTTAGTTACTTCTAGTTATAGTAAAAAGAAAGTTATATAGATAAGTATAGAGTTAGTTTATAAACTAGTAATAACCTTATTACTTATAGTAATATTGTAAAGAATAGAGAGGTAACAAGAACTATTCTCTAATAATAGAATATAGCTTTGTTAGAACAAAGTAGTTAAATACTATAATAAATAGTATAACTAATAAAGATTTGCAATAAAGTAATTGCAGAGTAAATAGTAGGTAAAAGGTAATAATATTGTTGCTAGGTATTTTTCTAATTTGTTAAGAAATTACAATAAGTGCAATCTTAACAAAGCTTAATAATAATAAAAAGATAATAATAACTAAGTTATTATAATCTTTACACACCCTCTTAAGCTACAGTTTATAACAACTAAATAATAAGAAAATATAAGTAGTTTTTATAACTAACTTATTAATAACAATTTATATAAGAAGTTTTAATAACTATCTTAAAACTAAAAACTTATTTCTATTTCTATTTCTATTTCTATTTGCTAAT